TCTCTGGCTGTCCAGGGGGAAAGCAGGACTCAGGTCATCTCAGCCATGCCACAGCCTCTAGGGTGGCTGACCCTATCTTGCCAAGACTAGCAAGGCAGTGGTTTGTCCCCGCCTCCCTCAGTCACCAGTCCCCACACGTGGGATGGTTAAGATCTTTTGGTGTCTGACCTCAGGGCCTCCTGCTGCAGCTCAACAAACCTTCGAGAGTGCCTGGCCATGGCCTGAGGGCACTGACAGGGGAGTGGGGCAGAGAACGGGTTGCAGTTGGGTTGCGGTGGCAGGACCTGGAGGATCTGGCGGTGTGGGGAATGTTTGGGCTCCTACCCCAGACCCCGGCGAGATGGAAAGGGGCACATGGAGTGGGGGGTGTCAACCCAGTGTTCATTTCCAAGCCATGGGGAGACTGAGTACTTACGGAGCCTTCCTCCCCGATCGCGCCCACCCACCGAGATCTCCCCCTGTTGCCACTCCACCTCTAGAGTGATTTGTGGTTTTCAAAGCAATTTGCAACCCTTTTCTTTCTTTTTTTCTGTTTTCTTTTTCTTTTTCTTGGCAGCTGGCCATTGTGGGGACCTGAGCCCGTGACCTTGGTGTTACCAGCAACACGTTCTGACCAAGTGAGCCACCGGCCAGCCCTGCATCCCTTTTCTTTTGTCGGTGTCACTGCAGCTCTTGCACACGGACAAGGCAAGGCTTCTTTGTGAACAACGAGAAACTCAGGTTCCCAGAGGGGGATGATTTGCCACAGTCACACCAGCCAGTTAGCACTGAGGGCTCCTGATCCTAAGTTTTCTGCCAACACCGCAGAGTCAAAGCTGCGCAGAGTCACAGCGCATGGCACGGAACAGTGTTGAAAGCTTCCCGCTGTCCCTTCGCCATTACCTAGTGCTGTGCTGGGCAACAGCAGGGGTTTGGCCGAAACAAGTGGCTGATGCCCCAAAGGAGCAGCGGCTGAAATGCAGGTTTTGATATACAGCAGTTGCTCAGTAAATATTTGGTGGGTGAATCAATGCCCTAGCCATTGTTGGGAGGACAAGCCCCATTGCTGAGAATCCTTTAGAAAAAATGTGGGATTTCCTGTAGGTAAGCTGAGGCACAGAGTCATGATCGATTGCCCCCAGGTGACAGCAGGACCTCAGGAGTAATAATGCTGATGGGGCTCTAATGTGCAAGAACACCTACCAAGTACCAGGCACTGCGCGGGCGCTTTGCATAGATAACTAATCCTGCAAAAAGATAACTAAGTCTGCAAAAGGAGACTGAAGGAGAGAACCCAGGTCCAGAGAATTTAGGCAACTTACCCAGGGTCACACAGCTGAGCAGTGTGAGTTGGGACCCTAACCCAAGCCACCTGGCTCTAAAGCCCACCCTATTCCCATCCCGCCAGGAGGCAGAAGCCCAGGCGAGCAGCCACATTCGTCCTTCTGCCTGGGCGGCCCAGCCTCTGCTCTCACCTCCTCCTTCTCCCCGCCTTGCAGGTCTCTCCACTCCTCGATGGGCTGGCCGAGGTCCACAGTGTTCATGGGCACCTTTACCTCTCCGATTATGTCATGTTTGGAGAAGCGGTCAAAGTCGTAGATGGCCATCACCAGGGTTTTGCCCCCCAGCTCCTGGTACGGCACCTGAAGGGCACAGGCAGGATCAGAAGGGGCCAGAGCGACTCGTGAACCCCCAGGGGGTGCTGTGGGCAGGTCCCTGTGCCTGGGTCTCTATTCCAGCCAGTCCACAGGCTCCTGGTAAGTCTGTGGGGACAGAGGAAGACCCAGGGCTCTGAAGGGGCAGAGGGCCAGGGTAGGTTGGGAGGGGTACCGATTCCCCAAAGAGGCCAGGCAGTGACATTACATGCAGGCCTGCAGTCCAGCCTGCCATTGTTGCAGACTGAGTCACTGCTAGGGATGAAGGAATGGTTTGCAGAACTCCTTGGGGAGAACTGGGATCAGGAAGGGAGCTGGAGTCACCCTCCCAGCCCTCATCACCTTGAAGGTGAAAGTTTCATTGAAGGCAGGGTTCAGTGTCTTCCGATGGACTTTGGTCTCATATTTCTTTTTCTTGTCTGGGAGGAGGAAGACTTTGACATAAGGGTCTGAGGTGCCTCCCATGTCCAGGGCAGGCAGTTCCGCAGCCTGCAGAACACCCACGGTAAGCTGTGGAGAGAAGAGGGAGGCACCTGAGTCTCAGGACTGCCCCAGCAGCAGATCCGGCCCAGCCCCGGCCCCCACCAGTCCCTTCCCAGAGGTGGCAGTCAGGCACTAGGGCAGGCTGGACCTAGAGAGGAAGATTGGTCTCCATCTCCATCAACTGGAATTTGGAATGCCATTTGGAGAACCTGAAGCCAAGAGGGCAATTGATTTGCCCAAGGTTGGTAGGAAGGTTAATAGCAGAGTCAACCCGGAACCTTCCCCAGAGCAGGCTGGTGGCCAAGCCAGGGTCAATGTGCAGGAACGCGTGCCCTGCAGTTTCCAGTCTGCCCCACTCCATGGAAAGGAGCAATGCCCCCACATCCCTGGGGGGCTGTTTCTAGCCCCCTTCCACCTGACTCCAGCCCTTCCCCCCTCCCCGCCCCGGCCCCCCAGCCCAGCCCCACACACCTGATTGGCTTGAAAGTCATAGTCCAGGGAAAACTGCAGTTTGCCCAGGTTCTCCGGCTCTTTCTCCTCCTCTCCCTCACCTTCTCCCTCAGTCAGGCCTGTCTCCGCATCATCATCATCCTGGGGGGCTGGGGGAGGGCGGGAACGAGGGAAAAGGGGGGAACAGAGCGGCCGGGCTTGGCACGAGGGCAGCAGGAAGCCGGCCCCTCTGTGCCAGGACCTGACTCAGAGCTGGGTGTGGGGCTGAGGGAGGGATCGTGGCCGTGTCCATGGGGCTCTGCTTCTCCACAGCCCCTCCGAACCCCCGCCCTGCGTTTGGGAGACATGACTCTGGTTTTCTGTCCTCCTCAGGAGGCAGAGCACTGCGAGACCAGGACTACGCCACACGCTCTACTTCTTGAGGTGGGGGGATCTGCTTCCCTTGTAAGCCCCCTCCCTAGTACTTTCCCGGGCTCGGGCCCCACCCATCCTGGGCAAGACATACCAGGAGTGCAGTCCAGGCAGACAGGAGCAGGGTAAGTCCACGGAGGTGGAAAGAGAAGGAAGAAAGCGACGTAAGAGAAAATCCTGCAGCTCAAACCAGCCCCTGAAGTCACAGCCGCTTGGTGAGACCAGGCTGGGCTGTGCCCAGGTTGTTCTTGGAACCCCCGACACACACACACACCCACCCACACACACACACACACACACAC